AGACAGAAAGCTTTACAGGTTTTTGAAGCTGTTTTGTTATGATAACTGCTGTTTAACGCCGCAGTACGCGTTAAACGTGTGAGTGCTGTAAGGTTACGGCATAAGCCATTAAGCTGAGAGGGTAAAAGCGGCCCTGGTGGCGTAACGGATAGCGCACTAGCCCGGAAGGCGGACACGCCCCATCATTCGCAGCGAACCAGGCTGTACCTCGCTATATACTATGGCAAACATGTCAGCAACAAAAAAAAACGACGCAAAAAGGACAAAATGAACTAACCCCATAGCCTCTGAATTCAGTGGACATTCTCGCTTCATACTCATTCTCCTCTCCACATCTCGTGTAATTGGATCAATCGATGAACTCAGTGAAAGTTCTAGACTTGCACCATCTGCTACAGTAACTTCATCTCCACCATCACCATTCTAAAGGTTCATCTGTACAGAGCGAAAGCGTTATTGTAGATTTAAAATTTGCATACCTGCGACTCCTCAACAACATCTACGCTAACTTCTTTTCCAATACTCTCCGCTGTTTCATCGACAGGTTTCACGATATTTTCGACAGCTTCATCAACTGACTGTTCTTGTAAGGTCTTTGCTCTTGTCGATTTCAGTTCTTTGATCTTTCTTGACATCTCGGAACTGGGGGAAGATATCGACGACGATTCCGAAGCTATCGGCTCGAGATCACCGTCACGCGACTGAAATATTCATAGCTAATCGATAAAGCCACATAATGCTTAGAAGGGAGACTGTAAAATACTAACCATATTATACACTTTCATTTTCTCTCAGACCGTACACCTCTATTTTCTGTCAGACCGCAACAGCGGAAATGAATGGACTAGCACAGCAATGGCAGTAGAGACTACAGCTAAGCGTTCAGACTACGCGAAGGTAGCGCTTCGATCGCGCGTTCGACGCAACCGATGCGCATGCTTTTGACTGCATCGATCGCGTTGGAAGCGCGAACGAAGCGGTGCTGTCGTGAAGTCTGGACGCTGCCTAATCGATCTTTTCTTCCTTTCCCTCTACACCCTAAGTCCAAACCTCGAAGATGACCCACAAAAGGAGCTAACATATAATAGAACCGCATCTCCCTGTCAAGACCACAGATTTCAGGAAACACAGGCATATATCCCTCTCAAACTCTCTGAACAACTCCAATCAATCAA